TTCAAGAATTTTCTAGTTTTGCTAAAGCTCTAAAATTAAAGTTCATAAGTGAATCATCATTTTACAGCACCCAAGACAAGTTTGTATTACCAGCAATAAATAAGCAATACCAACAGCAACAGCTATCTGTGATAAATGATGTAAAGAAACGTAATACTCCTGTTGATTTATGCGGTGATGGGAGAGCTGACAGTCCAGGCCATAATGCTAAATATGGTACATACAGCATGATGGATGAAGATTCAGGGAAGATAGTCGATTTTGCATTAGTCCATGTCTCAGAAGTGTCATCGTCAAATGCCATGGAATACGAAGGTTGCAAAAGAACACTAGATAATTTACTTAACAACAAAGTCTCAATACGCTCCTTAACTACTGACCGTCACACTCAAGTAACAGCAAAACTGCAGCAAAACTACCCTACTATCAAGCACCAATATGTTTGGCATCTATCCAAATGGGTGACAAAGAAGCTGTCAAAAAAAGCGAAACTCAAGTCAAATAAATATCTAGAGTCTTGGATTAAATCGATCAACAATCATTTATGGTGGAGTGTGCAAACCTGTAACCAAGACCCCAAAGTTCTTGTTAGTAACTGGGTGTCGATCACCAACCATATTTGTGACAAACAAACCTGGAAAGAAGGTAAAACCACTGTATCTTTCAAGCATCAGAAGCTATCTAGACGAGAACGCAAAGAAATTAATTGGTTAAAGCCAGGGGCACCTGCTCACGTAGCACTAGAAGAAGTCATCTGTAATTAGAAGTTTCTAAAGGACATTGTTAAGCTTACTGAATGTCATCACCCTGGAAATCTGGAAGTTTTCCATTCTCTACTACTAAAGTATGCACCCAAGAGAAAGCACTTCTCATACCAGGGAATGGTTGGCAGAACCCAACTGGCCATTATTGATCATAACAACAACAGCAACCGAGAACAAGCAATTACTAAGAAAGGAGAAGGCCGATATCGTGTGGTTTTTCCAAAGACAAGAAAAACCTGGGTCGCTAAGCCAGTGCTAACACAGAAGTCATATTCATTTGTAAACGTCATGGTGGATGAAATAGCTGAATGTCACAAGAATAAGAAAACACTGCCAAAAATACAAGTACCTGAACACATTCCAAAGAACATCGCCACTGTCGAAAGACCACCAAAGGAGGAAGTCGTGAATAAGCATATATCTCGAATGATCAAAAAGAAAAGGAAAAATCTCAATCTCATGGTAAGTATCAATCAATCAATCAACTTTATTTATTAGTACACTAGTTACAATGTAAATTAAGTATGGTGTGTAGTAAYCTGGTAGCATTGATGTTTATGACAACATATGCTATCATAGCAGTGCTCTGAACAAAATACATGTCAACATTATAACATTGTGCCATTTTCATTTGTCAACATGATGGATGAAATAGCAGAATCCCACAAGACTAACAAAACACTATCAAAAACACATGTACCTGAACATATTTCAAAGGAGGTTGCAACCATAGAACCACCAAAAGAGAAAATTAGCAATCTAACGACAAAAAAGAGAAAAGGAAATAAAAAATGACTGGTAAGTATAAAGTGTGATAATCTGCTTTTTCTCGAATCACAAGCTAACTGMAAAATAAATAAAATCAAAAAGAACCAATGAACATTCATAGTAATGTAATAAATAATCATCATTAGAGATCCAGGCGGTCTGATGGGGAAACTATACTGCAATGTAAACAACAACCGTGTAATTTTTCATAGGCAATACAAAGAATCAAACAAATAAACAACAATATATTGTAAGAACAATTCTATTTCAGATTCTATTTCAGATCATTCTACTCGTCTGGATAGTGGAAACCAGAGAATTCGAAGTCATCTTCAAGACCAGGTGGAGGAAAGTGAGCACGGATGCACATCACGGCACATGAAGGTAAAACCACTCGAATTTCTTTTCCAAAGACACCCCAACACCATCTCACTAACTGACGATATGCTACGTGTCGATTCCTTTTGTGCTYTGGAGTGTGAACGGCACCATATTGCTGACGATAGTGAAACCAGGCAGCTTYCAAAACCCAACGGTTCAGACACACAGCTTTAAATCCTGGATTGTCCGTTATGCAGCGCAGTGGCTCAGCAAGATGTTCCTCTTCAACGACTTGACGGTTTTTTTCCATAATCTGCGGGATTTCACGGCAGCAAAGACACTCGACTTCTCTATCCATTATTTGACAATTATCGCATTGACACCTTGGTGAATAAATTGACAAAAAATGTAAAGTAAACTTCATCTTGAACTCGAAAATCAGTGCAATAAATGCTTCAAGTGCTAAAAAAGTGCTTACCAATCTGAATTTTGCAAACGGTTGTCGTGAGTTGCAGAGTTTGATGAATCTGACGAGATATCCGACTCTGAGAAATCGTCCACGATGCGTCTTGGTTCGAACATGAAACCTTGAATAAGTCCTTCCTGCTGTTCAATTTCCTCAAAATAATCGCCAAAATCGCTAGAAGAACTACTACTCATCGTTAATGTTTTGAAGTTTTGGCTCGTAAAACAAGCAAAAAAAAAAAAACACAGAAAGTCAATATTTGTCCAACAATCAACAAATATTGACTGTCGAAAGTTGACAGACCGCGCAGTGACGTCACACGCCGCTGACCAGTAGTATGTTGCGCGTTCAGAAGGCAATTCAAAATGGCGACCGCCATGCTCGGATTTGTCGTGTCTTTCGTAAATTATTTCTCTGCTGTACTGGATGCTATGGAGTCAAGGCTTTGTAGAAAAGATAAGTATATAATAAACTTTTAATTGAGTAAGCCATGGATCGAGTGTGGGGTTCTCCTTTAAAGTTGGCTTCTTGTTTGACCAGGCGTAACAAACGGTTTCCTCAACATGATATCTGAAATACCTCCACAAATACAACTCCATCTCGTTAGAATTTTGCAAACCACAAACACTGCAGTGAAAAGCATGTGTTGTTCACACTTCAGTCTTYGTTATCTGGGGTGTTTTATGAATAATCAGGGGCTTAAATTAGGAAGCACGAGGTCATAGTTCACAGTGTCGTTCGACTTGTGTTACACTTGACCACTAAAAWTAATCTTATCATCAATGCTATGTTTTCAAACCGTGAAGTTTCTAGATATCATTTCGATGATGGTCAATAACCAGAAAAGCATTTCTAATGCTGAAAAAATGAAAAAATGGCGAGAGCGACAAAAAGAAAAAATAAGGATTCTGACAAGAAATATTATGAACAAAACCGGGAGCGGAAAATTGCACAGCTGTTACAAAGCCGTGGCAGCAGAAAAGCCCAACCACAAACGAGAAGCGACACAAGTGCAAAGAAAACGAAGAAAAATCGAAGTGAAGGAGAAATAGTTGAAGAACGGAGAGCCAAACTTAGAGAGCAAACAAGAGAAAGGGTGAAACGATACAGAGAGAAAAAAACGACAAGAATTAAGAGGTAACAACCATGAAGACTTGAAAGAGTCAAGTGTCACGATTCCAAACCCGCCGGCTCCCATACCGTCATCTACCGAGAAAGGTTTTCATAATCGTATGGCCAWGACACGAGCACTTAAGGTCACAAGGAATACCTTGCCAGGATCCCCAAAGAAAAAAGCAGAGATTCTGGAATGCCTAATTTCAAGTTCGTGCACAAGAAAAATTCTTTCTGAAAAGGGAATAGTAAAAACACCCAAAGAAAGGAAAGAGGATAGTGCGCTCAAGGCTCTCGCAGCAGACATCTCTGAGGGGATAAAGCAAATCAAGAAAAGTGGTTCTAAAGATAACAGAGCAGCCTTGTCAGCTGTTAAAAAGCTTTCTTTTGGAAGAAATGTTGTGAAATCCAGGACCCAGTCTTCTGTTTCAAAGCTTGTTAACCTTGGGCGTGGTTCCATTAGCAAAGCGGCGAAAGAACGAGAAAAGCAGCTTCACTCAGGAAACAGAACTAGTTAGCTTCATCTTACACGTAAAACTAGAAAGGATGCCATTAATGATGATTATAAGCAATTAATTGTTGACTTCTGGACAAACCAAGCAAGCAGACCTACTGGAGTCATGAAAGACATCGTCAGGAAAAGGATCGGGAAAAAGAAGTATCTGGAGCATGTGAAGCACGTTTTGGAAAATACACAAACAGAAGCCTATYTGGAATTCAAATCTCTTCACCCTGAAGTCCAAATAAAACAGCGTAAATTTGAAAGTCTTAAGCCGTTCTTTGTCAAGGCTGCTAAGGAAAAAGACAGAAGATCTTGTCTTTGTCGTAAACACGTGGAAACTCAAATTTTGTTTAAGGACTGCATGAAATACCGAAAGAGTATATGTACCAACAATGCAAGTGCTCCACTCCATTCCAGTTTAACAGAATTAGTCAATACTACCCTTTGCAAAAAGCCTGAAGGCCAGATCTATCACAATTTGAAGTGTCTCACCAGAGAGTGTAAAGAGTGTGGAGTTAACAAATTTGTGGTACTCCCAGAAGAATTGAGTGAATCCGTGCAAGACGAAGTCACGTGGAAGCACTACACCTATGTAGGCACTAGTAAATTCTCATCCAATGGACAAGAAAAGAAGAAAGTCACGCTTGTCATAAAGAAAACACCACCGAAAGACTTATTCCAGTATTTCCAAGGTCTTCTACAAGAGTATCCATACCACTGTTTCATGGCCAGATGGCAAAGAGAACAATTGGAAAATCTAATGGAACACCTTCCACTTAACGAGGTCATTTGCATTCACGACTATTCTGAGGGATACAGTTGCCGACAGCAGGACGAGCTGCAAAGCGAGTATTTCGATGTAAATAAAGTATCACTACATATCACCATCCTATATCGACATGCGACAGGATCGATAGATGGGGAGCCAGTCAGCACTGAGGATGACCCAAAGATTGTAAAAGACCATATTTTTGTCTTGTCTGATAATAACACTCAAGACTATAACGCAGTTCATAGAGTCCAGGAACTGGTGAAGAATTACCTAGTTGAACAGCTAAACATGAAAGTTGACAAAATACACGAGTTTACAGATGGCTGTTCCTTGCAGTACAAATCAAGGCACTGCATTGGGGATCTTTCTTGTTGCCTAGCAGATTTTGGTTTTCAGATTCATCGAAACTTTTTCGAAACGTCACATGCTAAAGGCGAACAAGATGCAGCCGGAGCAAATGTTAAACAGAAGGTGAGCCAGGCTGTGTTGAGAAAAACAGCGGTAATAAGAAATGCAAAAGATATGACAAATTTCTTGACAGAGAATTTCACCAATCCAGCGGCATCTACATTTGTCTCCAGATTGAAAGCTGTGGGGTTATCTCGAAGATTATTTTTTTATGTGCCAACAGAAGGTGACCAAGCTGTGCAAAGACAAAGACCAGACAGAATGTTCAAGGAACTTAAAGGGATCAGAAAGCTGCACTCCATTAAAACCACGTCACGACAAGGAAGGGTTTTTGTGAGAAACTGTTCATGTTACTGCTGCAGCTGTGTTGACAACAACGGAAAGGAGTGTGCCAACAAACAATGGGTTGATGATTGGAGAGAAGTAAAATTAGAGAGGGAGTCTTCAGCAGCAACAACCCGACAGGCTGCAAGTGAAACTGACACTGACTTCGAAGAGAGAGCTTTCAGAATCGCTGATCTTGCTACGAAGGGTAGCACTATAGCAATTGCTGCAGAAGAGGACCCCTACTATGATTTTTATCTTGTCAATGAGATTAGTGATGGTGTTGTTGAACTCGAAAGTGACTTAACCGACGATTATGGATTTTTTTTTCCAAAGGGGTCTACTGGCCTGAAAGGCAACTTCTTTTTAAGAGATAACTTAATAGACATGAAGTACAAACTCAATACAAAGAAGACAGCATTTCTGCTTTCTCAAACTGTCAGATGTGTGTGTGGTGAGCTCAAGAAAAAGAAACAAAATGTCTACAAACTTGCAATTGAAATACACGAGGAAATCATAGCCTCACTATAAATCAAGTCAATTTTTCATATATTTTTCGTAATCACATACGCACTAAATAAGCAAATACCAAGATACTACACCCACAAAGGATTGTGGGTAATTTTCTAAATCTCAGTTAAATGCTAATGAACAACTAGAATTTCACCAAAAGTGCAAATTCGGAGTTGGAGAACTTATTTCTAGGGGAAAAAGTTATCATCAACTTGATTCTGTTACTTTCATAAAAATGTCCTAAAAATTTTACACAACTGTAGGGGGTGATTGTGCTACAGGTCAAACAGAGGCCATACATGTCTATTCCACCCAACCAAGCATCTCTGAAGCAACATTCAAAGCGAGCTGTCTACCAGGGAGGAATAATCTGGGGTCAGACCAGGGATCCCAGCCCTAGTTTACCAATTCCTGTAGATTGGTGAGAGCAGAACGGAAAATGGGAAACCCATTGGACGGATCTTCCTCCAATTGCAAAAAGCTACCAAGAACTAATTGCTGATGATAACTAATTAATGACTTCTATTTAGTACATAAGTTATGAAAATAATTTTGGCTGGAAGACAAACCTGCTATTCAGATGGAGCCCCAATAAGGCCACCCATTATTACTGCAAATTTTGCTTGCAGAAATGATAAGAGGTAATTAAAACTTTGCATTCGCGTTTAGGGTACCTTGAGTATATTGCCATACATTATCATATCAGAATGTGTTATCATGAAGCTAATTATTGAACATTTCCCACTCTTTAGATTGTTTTCAAAGGAAGCACTGGTACTGTTTTAGGCACCAAATCCTCGACATGAGTACAGTCAAAAAAGGCAATAGAAAGAGACCTTAATAAAGCTATTGTTGGGGCGAGTTCTTCCTTTCTTGAATGCTTATCAAGTGTTCAAGCTTTTATCGCATGTTATGAAAGTACTGAACTGGAGGAAATCGACCATAAAGTTATCAAAGCAATTGAGGGATCAATGTGTTTAGACACCTATAAATCGAAGAAATAGAGCTTGAAAGGGAGAACACATGAACTTCTGAAACACCTCAGGGGGTGTGTGTATCTTTCAACGTGGCCGACTTCTGGTTTTTACCAATGACACTTCACAGGAAGTGATGTGTATTGCAAAAAAAAATAATAAAGAATAAGGAGTGGCAGGGGGGAATTTTATCTGCACATGCTTACGCTTTTTGTTCTTTTTTGCACGCGCCCTACCTGTGGTAAGCGGGAAACATAAAATTTGTAAATAAAGATGCCGCCAAGTTCACTTACGAAAACGTTAATTTTTTCCCTTTTTCTGCTATCTGCGGTTTCATGTGCAAGACAATTCTCAAAAGAAGAAGAATAAATGCATTGTCCGTAAACGTCAATGTGAAGAAAACAAATTCTACTAGAAGTGTTTTTCCTAACCTGGAATATGTAAAACGTTGTTTTGGATTTACGTACGACGGCACACCTGATGGTACAGTTTGTTCATCCTGCTGTAGAGCAATTTACGAGCATAAGACGTSAAGAAAAACTTTTTATCGCGTAAGTACTTAAAAAAATAACAACACATTTACACGAGTTTTCATCACAATGATTTTATTTAAATTCTTGTCGAGTTTATTTTTTTACTTTAAATGTTGGCTTAATTTGTAACACCAACTTTTTCTGCAAAAAACCGATATTTCCAGCTTGCTGAATAAAATATAAAAAATGTTGATAGACCTGGAAAACGGAGGCGTTCAATAAACCTCAGCTTTTAAGAAACTGAAAAAGTGGAGAGAAGATCAAACAGAGAAATAACCTTGCCACCCGGTGTTTTGAAAACATAGAGAAAAATATGAAAATACTTTCTAAAAGTATTAAGTAACAAATAAAAAGCTATTTATAAAACTAAAAAAGACTGCAAACTATTTTTTATAAGTCTTATTAGTCTTAAAGGATATGACATAAAGACTGAGCTTCAAAAAGTGAAGACAAAAATGTTTGAAGAATTTGTTGTTAAGGAAAAAAGCCCTATTTATGATCCTGAGGAATTTAGTTTTTGCCAGACTCGCCTATACCAAGAAATGCTAAATGCAATAACAAGTGACAGACACTCAGTAGACAGAAACTCATTAAACCAAAAAAGGGCCGTTCCTTTAAGTTAGCACAAGTTGTGCTACTGTTTTAGCCAAAGATGCAATGCCTTGCAAGTTGACCAAGCCTGATAGTGAAAACGAGGAGGAATGGGAGTAGGTAATGCAAAAAATAATTTTTTCTCACGATACACTGAGATTTTCACAAGTAAAAATTCTCCACCTATCGAGAGAGATTTTATTCACTAGTTTATTTTTAAAATATGCATTTCATCATTTTAAGATGATTTGTTTTTGAATGTATAACATTTTTATTAATATATAGACACGAGTGTTTTAATGGGAAATACGCTTTTAAATGTAATACGAAACTGCATCCGGGATACAAAATACAGCTCGTGTTTCTAAGTGTGTGTTTCTATAATAATAAAAAGAAAACAATTGCACGGCAAGCTTGAAGATATGAATTTCATCTTTTCGTGTTAAAAAAAATATTGGTCGATTTTGACTGAATGTTCAAAGAAAAACTTTGGTTATACGATATTTGACTCTTTTAAAATGGTGTCTAGATTGTTTACTGCTGAGGAAGCACTCAAAGAAGTTTCAGAAGCTCCTTCTGATGAGGAATTTTCCGACTTTTCCAATGAGAGTGAGCAGGATACTTTGGAATACAATAGTTGTTATTCTGACGAGGAAGAAATGGTTCAAGAGAATAAAATATATATGAGCTATGATGAATATATATATGGCATTATTTCGTATGATTCAGGCTAACCACATACATATATATATGCCCAATTACAAATATGTTTAGAGCACACTGTATATATTTATTTTATGCCCAACGTCAATTTGGTCAGCGGAGATACTCATTTGAGGAGACAAACTGAGGCATCTAGAAAAGGAATATGACGGACTTTAACTCGACTAGTCATGCTGCTTCTACCAACTTAGTAGATTTTCTGGTCCATCAGATTACCGACCATCCCGATTTCAAACAAGTCTTACAAGTAAGGCGTTATTTAAGTGAAACAACCAAAATTTTCAAACAATCAAAGTTTTCATTTTCTTTAATTCAAAGTATTTTCTTTATTTCTTTATTTCATATTTCTTTATGAAAGACCTCAGAGAAAAGCTGCAAATCAACAGACCAGCTATTCTGCCTGCATTGAGAAAAGCAAATAAGAAAAAGATCAAAGATATTTTGTCTTTGCTGGAGGGCTAGGACTCCAATGATGAAACTGGTAAYACCTTTCACATTKATCCTATGCGGTGGCCTATAATTAATATGAAATTAATATGCAAGAAAATGAGTATCCAGTCAAGATAGGCCAGATAAAAAAAATTGAAAATCAGAATAATGGGATTAGCATAAACGTGATGCTTTTAAATGCTTTTACTTTAACATAATCTTAATTCTAGAAATGAAACCAGCAAATCCTGACATGCACTTTAACATACTAGGTGTTTTCACTTATCAAGTACTGAAGTCTGTTGGTATCCAAATAAAATACATGTAATTCAACAAAACACATTTTTTATAAATATTAATCTCATAGCAAATGAAGTAAGAGAAATTAAATGTAAAATCAAATGTAAGATTACAAGTTTAGTAAGAGAAATATTGCGAATGAGTCAAAAGCTTTAGCATCGAAGAAAACTGTTGTGTGACAACGAGATTGTTATATCTCCTCAATGAAACCAAAATACCAGGATTTTGAGATGATTCATTGCTTGCTTGCCCAAATYCTTGCAAAAAAAATCGGGTTTTATCTCCAAAAATGATTTATTTAACCCTTCATTCCCAAGACTCTGAAGGTGAAGCTGAAGAGTCATGGGCAGCAGTTCTTTCTAACTTTGATCGACAAAAGTTTATCTATTCTTCCAATACGAACTTTAGGCAAGTTCTCACCCTACGATCTCAAGGGACTTGCAGTGATCTTTGGATTTCAAGAAATCTGATATCTCTTATTCTCATAATGACTTGTATTTATTTCGTATTTTAGTCTGACTCGAAGTTCATTCAAGGTATCCAGCTGATCCGCCCAAGAGTTGATCCACCCGGACCACATTTGCCCGAACTTAAAGTTGATGCGCCTGAAGAGTGTAGTCTACTTATCTATAGTTGTTACAGTTTTTTGTATCCCATGAATAGGTTTCAGTAAAAAAAAAATACTTTTTGTGAACAGTATGTCGTAAAAAATTTTCTAGTTGATTACAGGTTTGGTGAAGTCTTGTGAATTTCACGTATCAAATTTCAAGACTATATATCAATTGCCATGTATTGGTACTTGACTCGGACTCGACTGCTCCATGAAAACTCTCATGATCATTCAAAACACGAATGAATTGACAGAAAGTATGAAAGAAGACCATAGTTATTAGGGAGCTATTAACTATGAGAAAACGAGAAAAGGTTTCTGAAAAACCAATTTTCTAGTTGATCACAGGCTCAGTGTAGTCTTGTGAATTTCACGTATCACATTTCACAACTATATATCAATTGGCGTGTATTGGTACTTGACTCAGACTCGACTGCTCCATGAAAACTCTCATCATTCATAACACAAATGAATTGACAGAAAGTATGAAAGAAGACTATAGTTAACAGGGAGCTATTAACTATGAGAAAACGAGAAAAGGTTTCTGAAAAACCAAGCCGTTATAAAACCAAAAGTCAATCCGCCCGCTGTTTGAATTTGGACACAATCTTCGACCTAAAGGCCACATCATAGAAATAAGATTACAGTTTGATGAATTGTTGTTTTGTAAGTTCAGAATGTTGGCGAGAGTTTCTTAAAGAGAAAATCTGGACAGGGCCATGACTTGAGCGTCATTTGTTACGCCTCGGTTAACTGGTTTTGGTTAGCTAAGTGTCTTCAAGAAACCAATCCACCCGATTTGTTAATCGTTCGTTAATACGTGAATGGACATAACATCATAGGCCACATTATAAAAAT